AAATATGACCTTGTGAAAGCTTGATATTAATTCCAAAAAAAAGTGATTTCAACAGACTACTCCTTTTTTCTTGTTTACATTCGTTAGGTTCGAAAGAAAATACGTCATGTATTTATGTGACGTCATGTTGTGGTGAAGGGGTACCCTAAAGGGAGTCTTATTTCGACGTTTCATTTGAAGTAGCAATGATTTGTTTCAAAATAGTCTTAATTAACTTGGCAGGGGAAGGGTAATAAAATTATTATTTTGGTTTTGGAGTGATATATGTGGATATATTACCTGCCAAGATAAAATATCACCCTCGCCTGACGGCTCGGGTGATATAAAATCTTGACAAGAAAATATCCACATATATCACTCCAAAACCAAAATAACATATAATATATGGTTGTTTGAAATCCATATTTAAATTCATTGCGTCTGCGTCGAATGAATAGACTTATTTACGATGCGGAAAAATCGACCGGAAGTAGTATTTTCCCGCGCATGTGCAAACTGCATAGGGCAAAAAATACATCGCCCGACAGAGAAATGAAGTAGAAGTTCATAGACAATTCCGAGTTAGTTTAATGTTAAAGTGGAAAAATATATAAAATAGCTTTTAACAAAAACACAAAAGTTGCTTTATAGCTTTTGTGGCCAAGATTACCATAAAAAGGCATGGAAAAGATGATTGTTTTAGATACCCCCCCCCCCCCTTCCTTACGATCATAAGGGAATAATTGTTGTAAAAGATGTGGAAATATATTTATTAGCAAATAATGAGGTTAACTTAATTGTTGTTTAAATAGTTCATATAGAACTCAAGAAATTTTATAACATATGAAATCGAGGTTAATTATCATTCTGAAATTACACGTGTAACTAATGCATTTGTAACTTCCAATCTTCTTTAATTTATCCTTCATCCGATTTGACTGTGATGCGAAACAGAAAGTCACATGAATATATATACGGAATATTATGTTGTAGTAGCTTTCTGAAGTCTTGTATTTTGCTGCAAGCAGCGTTGGAAGATTGATATCAAATTTCAAGCGATGCGAGTAGCAAAATACATAAGCTCAAAAAGCTGCTACAACATAATTTCTCCTTTTATTATATACCTTTTTGTCTTAAGTAAAAAAATATACTTCACTTCATTTAGTAATTTCAGCAGATGAAATGTAGCTGTCGAGAAATAAATTCATGAATGCCGGATGAAATAGAGGATATTGAATGAGTGTGAGTTCAATACTGAATTTATTGAACGAGTTGAATAAAATTATATAATGCAAGCCTCTGACGAACATAATATTTTATTATTCAACGAGTTCAATAAATTTAGTAACGTATGGTGGCTGATTTGTGCCATTCGTGTTTTCGCCCCGCGACCCCGCCAAGCAAAAAGTCGAAAATTAACAAGTTAAAATGGCGGGGGCGCGGAGCGAAAACACGCAAATTAGCGAGGGCGCGGGGCGAAGTTTAATAAATAAAACTTCGCCCCGCGGGAGCGCCGAGCGATATTTAAGAAATAAAACGGCGGGGTCGCAGGGCCTCGCTAATTAGCGTTTTTTTGCTCCGCTCCCCCGCCGTTTTATTTCTTAAATTTCGCCATTTCACGAATGGCACAAATCAGCCACCATAGTAATGAACTTATTCTTTATTATCACATACCAAAAATAAAGACCGTTTATTTCATGCTTTCCAGTGTTTTATTGTAATATATCAGATGATTATATTCTGATAAACCACAAGTGAAATTTATAAAATATAATTTTCACTGTAGCCGGACTATGTCTGATTGCGGATGAAAAGAAAACCAAACCAAATGGAATAACAGGCAGAAATAAATGCCGCCATATGTAAATTTTGCTTCTTTAGGAAAAGAAAGTTGATGTTGCCGTACATCATGTTAAAGATGTAACAAAATTAGAGAAATTTAACAAAACTATATTTCAAAATTGATGATGTGACGTCATGATGTGATGACGTCACAAAGGAGAATGCACGACGTTACGCGGCAAAATCAGTAAAAAATACTTAAAATCACTTAAAAAGCATGAAATAAAAAGAAAATTTATTTATTTTACATATAAGATTGAAATATATTTCATTCGTGAACACCAGCTTTTATATTTTCACTCGTGGCTACGCCACTCGTAAAAATATTGCATCTGGTGTTCACTCAGTGAAATTATATTTCAATCTTACATGCAAAACAAACAAATATCCTCTATTTAAAGTGAAATAAAGTCATTAATCATTGACGCGCCTACAGTATATAGAGGGAATTTGTTTGTTTTGCATGTAAGATTGAAATTTATCACACACCCGTGCCGATTTTGCGACTCCGTAAATATGGTATTGCACGGCCGTGCATATATTTTGACGTGACGTCATTAGCGTTATACAAACATAATGTAAAGACGCGCTAAATGTTAGCGTTGAACCACAGGAACTTGAAATTCTATCAATATTAATGATAATATCCAAAATATACCCCCTATACAGTATAAATAAACACAAGGAATGAAACGCCAACATAATTTACGCCGAACAAATCAACAAAACAACTGATCAAAATAATCTATCCGGCAATTTCGATAAACAATAAATAAATGTATCAAATACCACCGATAACTTTTTGAAATCGCGTAGCTGTGTAGGAATAATTCAACATTTTCTGATTTTTTCCCGCGATCTGAGTTTGTCGCCGACTCCATTCCGTGACGTCACTGGATTTTAATTCGAGGATAATAATATTTATTAAAATTATTTTTAATAAGTTCCAAAAAATAACATGTATGGATTAAACTTTTATACAAATTATTCTATGTAAATAGATTTAAACATCTTTATGTAAAACCTTTTTAAGAAATTACTTTTATAAATACATTTGAAAGGGAAACCCCAAACAAGAACGGTAAATCTTTGATAGTACTTTCGTTTTGTTTGAGTTCTCTATTTGATATGGCCCAGCAAATAAATTCAGCCATGTCGTAAGAAAGAAATTAGTCATTTGTTCTAGTTTGACAGTATTTTACTTGCAAACTTGTTATTTCTTGAACTTGTTAATAAAAATTATTCTCCATTAAGAGCAAATATATCAGGTTTATTTTTTTTTAGATTCTTTTTACTATAAGGCCGCAACTTGTTGATTGATGCACGGTATATATAATATATAAAAGTTGCATGTTAACAGGGGAGTGCGTTAATTGATAACTTGCGTCTGAACTATGATTAATTAATTGTGGTTCTGAAAACAAGGAAACATAGATATAATGCAAAGTTTATGATGTAAATTCATTATTATACAGCATCTTTTCGCATCTTATTCTTGGTATGGTTGGGTGTATTTCACATATTATTTGCAGCTTTACGTGAATGAACATTATTTGGCGTATATTTCTTTTATTTCAGGCAAACGCTATTGCGAGTGTATTTTGTTTATTACTTGCACAAATAAAATCAAAGTGCTGCAGCACTGAATGCGACGGACATGCAACCGGAGAGACATTAAGGCTTCTTTTAGAAAAAACATAGCAAAAACAAAACATAAAAAATATAAAAGAGAAATTCGTTCCATTCGAGATTTGTAGAGCAATATATTTTGTGTCCCAAACTGATATAATTCAGATTTTCTACTCTCGAGCACTTAAATACAGAATGAAATTTATGCCTAAAAACTCTGGTCAAACTTGTAAATCAGTGTCCTTATCGATTTATTCCATGAAATGATATGTAAATAGAAAAAAAACCGTCAACGAAATATTTCTAAAATAAAACCAGGCAAATAAACTTCAAACATAAATTAGTACATTATACATTTGAGAATGCTATTTAGAATTGCTTCGTGTTATATCATAGTGAGCATATAGACAATAAAATATAAGTCATTTGTATTTTTTTATGTCCCATTAAAAAACAATTTGGTTAAAATCATCAGCAATTAATAGTGTATTTTTTAGATTTTTTTTATTTACAAGGTAAAGATGTAGAGGCCAGAGCACATCGTTTTTATTTTATTTTAAATGTCACTTAAGCACTACAGTGTTTAGTTGTCCTTTTCAATTTCACACTAAATTCCATTTTCAACTTGTTTGCTTCTTACAATTGTATAGAATTTCTAAAAGTATTGGTTTATTACATGTATAATGTGTACTCCCTAATCGCCTGTCCAAAAATCAGAACAGGCGAAGCAGAATCTATTTTTAGAATAGCGAAGGTTAACTCATATCATGACCTAGAAAAATATATTAACAAACCACAAGAATCGGAAGTAGAACTGATATTATAACTTCCTTACCATGAAAGACTACATGGCGGTCAAGTGTTGAAAAACTCTCTCCTTACATGCATTTTCAAAAATAGATATTTATACTAACCATTGTACTGTATCTAAGATATTAATAACTGCTGAATATTCAGCTAAACCCGCGGTATGAGTCATGAAAATAGTTCTTCTTTTATTATTGCGCGAGTTATCCTAGAGTCACGAAAAACTTTTGATTAACTTTCGATTTGTTAATAATAATGTTTTGTATAATGAAGAAATATTTATTTCCTACTAATAATGTCTTGGAACTCAGAGGTTACACCTTTATTGTAGTATAATTTGCTGTCCTACTTTTTCGACAGCGGTAAATCGTTTCGGCAGTAATTTGCATATTGCGCAATAATACTACGGGACTACAACGTTTTTATCAATAATATACGTTCATATTTTAACTTGGATAACTTAATTTGAAATTGAAAAGGCTAAATATGGAAGATTTTAAGATATCAAGACAAAGTATGGGAGTTTTGAAGGATCAAATTCATGTACTATTTTTTGGGATGTTAATCGGTTTAGGACACACTGCGCGATTGTAGCCAACGAATTCCCATGAAGATGACTTAGCTCTGAACGCGCCTGAGGGCGCGTCCGTCGCAAAAACATATTAGAGAGTCAGTTAACTCACAAAACAACACAGGGGAGAATACTACGTTAAAGTATTGTATTCCATTTTCAACGGTTAAATGCCTGAGTGAGTGTGAGTAAGTTATCATAGCATGTGAGCTATAACATATTATAAACAAATGAACAATAAAATCTGGAAGAAATTGAGTTGAAAGGGAGTCAATCCCTAACTTTAATCATTCATATATATTCATTTATGCATTCTATCAAGCAAACATACATGTATATAACTATTCTTTCACGCTAAGTTTAATAAATGTATCTATGTATACATTATATACAACTGGTAAATAAGACTTATCAGCTTTCGTTAAGACATTATACATATATATATATTATTAGCGATTTTGAGTAATGAAATGATATTTGCCAAACCAATAATTATATCATGAAACTATCATCGCAGCGATTGTCTAAATTGTCACCCTATCTTCCATATATTTTAAAGATTGTTTATACCGAAAAACAAAACATAAATCAATTATACATATAACTGATGTTGCACATGACATCAAAAGTGATGAGTGAACCGAAAAGACACACTTGTAGTTCTGAAAACCAGGAAACATAGATATAATGCAACGTTTCTGATGTTTCAAAATTTGTATGTAAATTAATTGTTATACAGCAACTTTCACCTCTTCTTCTTGGTACGGTTGATACATATAGTTTGGATCCTCTTCGTCAAACATATTTGTATCAAACTCTTCTAATTTTATATCACTCTTTGTAACTTCTTTTGTAAACGGTATAACAGGTGTTTCAAAACGTTCTAGAGCTACGGAACCTTGTAAGGATAGTCTACTATCATCATTGTCGATGTTGTTTATATCTGATATCATAACTGGTGTCATTGGAATTGGAGAGAAATCAGTCTGCGTGCCGTCCTCAAAAAATTCGGGTAATGGCGATTTCTGGGATTCTAATTTGTTCAAATTGTCTTTCTTCTTTTTGTTCAAATTGTCCCGTTTCTTTAATCTGCTTACTTGGGTTGAAGGTGTTCGGGGTACACGTTTATGCCCACTTCTTGAAAGTGTTGTAGAACTGCGCTGTAATCCGCTAGTTTTAGGAGATTCGTATCTTGAATACATTCTTTTTACATGAGATGGAGGTCGTGCCGGAATAGGTTCTTGTAATTCCCAAAATAAAGCCCTTCCATATAAATACTGAAGACTCTCATCAGCAGAACTCATCAAGTCTTTCTCAGACGTTGTTGTTGATTCTAAAAGTTTAAGACACCAGTTAGATTGAAATATACAAGCACATTTGTACATACACACAATGTATGTTTAAGCGAAATCGTTTTATAAGACAACCTTTCGTAAATTTGTTTGCTTAAATATTTCCTTTACATATATGAATAATCAAAACTTACTTTTTACGTAGTCGAAGTATTTCTTGTCTCTGTACAGTTCTTCGAGCAACTTTTTCCATCTGTTCTCTGGAAGTCGTTTCTTCAGTGATTCAATATCAATACTCTCCATCCCATTAGTTTTATCCCCGAACGCTTCCTTCCAAGCACGTGGGTTATCTTTCCTATGAATACGTGCAAGAGGGGGTAGCGAAGCATGGTTAGCATTTCTTGATATAACTAGTGGTTCGGTGAATTCTTGCGGTGATTTTTGTCTTGATTTAGGTGGCATGTACCTCGTGTTGTGAGGCATACCGGGTGTTTGCGGGTTCGGCCCAAGTGAGAACCGATCTTTCGGACGCTGAAATTTACAACAAATTTGACTGTAAGAATCCGCATAGAACATTGAGGTATACAGAGATACACATTGCAAATGAAAAAATGATTCAAAATTGGGTTGTATTTACATTATACTTTAATTCGTTCATAAAATTGTAAGATAATATATTTTTTCATCTAAGTATTGATTGATTATTACACAATTCTAATATAAAGTTAATTTAACAATATCATAATTATGTAGAGTGCTTTACATTAATCATTGCGAAGTGATTCTTAGGTATTGATTGATGTGCTAAAAGAAAGGTTTGTTTATAGCTTAAAACAAAAAAATCATAAACATATTCTGTAAAGTATTATATCATTTCAAGTTTGTTGTAATAGAATGAGACAATATTTGACAGAACAGCAATTCATATAATGTGGTTGATACATGACTGTTACAGTGATAAACAATGACAGGAGCCTTTAATTATAATTCAATCATGTAAGTAACCCTCTTCTCGAATTATTACCATGAAGTTTATGTCTTAGTGTTGGCACAGACGGCATTGGTGAAACTGTGTTTGCCCTAGCATTGCGTAATCGTCGGATCATTGCCGACCACGGCTTTGATCTTGGTCTAAGTTTTGGTGGTGTATGCCATGATGTTTTCTTCTTTTTCGGGGAACCAGATGTAGGCCGAAAAAGAACAACTTTTCTTACAAATGGAGTATTTTGGTATGGTATATATCTAGAAACAACGAGTTTCTTTCTCTTTTGCTTTCCAATATTATTATTCCTTCTCTGAAATTGTGCAAATATTTAACAAAATAAAACTAATTAAAATATGACTTTTCCCTGAAAAGTGTATGTCTGTGGTAACGTCATACTCAAGTGTGAAAATAATTTTTAAAGTATAATTCAGCTGGAACGTTACCCCTTAAATCATAATTCAATTCATAATGTAACAAGTTACCACAGAGCATTCAGTTTACAGAAAGTCATATGTAATCTTTGCTTTTGGACTTACTTTGCGTTTATCCTTTTTAGGATTTAGGTTAGGCAAAATGAGTCGTGGCTCTTTGGTTTCGTCATCTGACAAATCATCAACTGCATTTTCATTGTCAGCAATATCACTTAGAGTTTCTACATCTTCCAATTTCTATGAAATACAAAAAATGCTTGAATCTGAAGGTGTCATATAATGAATTAAAGCCTGCTCTAAATGCTCTGTGGTTGCTTAAAAACTATCAGAACGACAGAAGCAAGTCATTGTATACATAAATCATAATTATAGTTAGAAATTCTAGCTGTCAAAAATTTATCTAAAAGTTATCACAAGACAAACACAGAGCACTCATACACAGCTTTCAACTGATTTCAATAAAACAAAATTACAATTTAGTTAAGACTAACAATACACAATTTTCACTTTATTTTTTGACAGCAGAAACATTTACAATTCTAACCTTTGCCTTCTTTGAATCTGTTTTATCTTCACCAAGTTTCTTATCCTGGTCTTCGTCTGCAAACCTTGTCTTTCTTTTACTTTCTGCTGGCCCTAGTTTATCAGCTTCTTCAACTTGTATTACTATATCCTTTGCAGTTGTTCCTCTGCCATCTTCGGAACCAGTGTCTGCCTTTGCTGTATTTTCATTAAGACGAATATTGGTGGGGTTGTAATTTAAATTAATATTTTTTACTTAATATTTAACCAACATTACATAAAAAAAATTCTCTTCTGAAATAATCATTGACTTAGATTCAAACTAAAATGTAGAAAATGATTATACTACATTTTGTATATATTTATTTCTAAGAAATAATAATAATATACAATATACTGAGTTCTTAATATTCAAAGATGTAAATGACAACACTAACGTTTTGCCTTTGGTCGAAATTTGAGCTTGGCTAATGCAAGTGCTTTTAACGGCCTCTTTCGTCCTTTAGCAAGATCTTTGATTCTGTCAGAGAAGACTTTGTTTGTTTTCTCTGCTGCCTTGAACTCGTCTTTATTATCTTTTCTTTTCCTTTTCTCCGCATACATATGAGCTTCAAGCTGAAAAAAATCTTCCATGAATTACTCGTTTAATTAAAGATGTGACATTAAGTCACGTCTCAGACCTATTCCAAATTGACTAACTATTTAACAAAAACATTTTGAACGTTAAACTAACATTATCCTGATGAAAATCATTAAATTGCACTTGTAATTTTGTTTCCTTTTCATATGTCAACATTCCATTTCAAATTTCAGCTTTTTCTAATCATTACTTACTGCAGTCTGCCTTTGATCCTCATCCATGTACAGCTGACCTTCATTGTAACCCTAGAAAATATATAATAATAATAATAAACTAAGCCTATTTATCAATAAGAAATAATAAAGTTTTACTATCAAAATGATTTCCGAAAATTAATTGATAATATATATATATTCACCATTGTACATGCCTCCTTGCAAGACGAACCTTTTTAACTTTCAAATTTTGGATTTAAAGTTAATTTCTTTGTTAGTGAGCAATCTATCGAAATTACAAGAGAATAGCGAGTTTAAACAAAAATACTTATGAGTGTTATCTATCCTTAAATCTCTTATTAAACGTTTCTTATTACATGTTTTGCAGTAGATTACTGAATTATAACGGTTAATTATATTCTGATAATTTCACAGTAATGATTACCAAATATAATTTCACAGTAGCCGAACTATATTTGGCGTAAAAATAAAATATTTATAATTAATGAATGTTTTTTTCAGCGGAAATGTAGTCAATCATAACAAAAAATGTACGTGATAACTGTAGTTCGTAAATATTTACGAACGTTGTGCTGAAAAACTTCTAAAATCTAAAAATAATCATGGAATTATATTTTGCTTCAACATTGTGACGTCATTATTTGATGAGCATGACGTTACGCGGCAAAAATCAGTAAAATGGTGTAAAAATCGTTAAAAAATCATGAAATAAACAGAAAATTTGTTTGTTTTACATGTAAGATCAAATAATATTTCACTCGTGAACCCCAGCTATTATATTTTCACTCGTGGCTACGCCACTCGTGGAAAATATTGCATCTGGTGTTCACTCGGTGAAATATTTTTCGATCTTACACTGAAACAAACAAATATCCTCTATTTAAATTATGAAGAAAAGATTGAATGAAAAGACGTGTACATACTTCGAGACCCTCCAAACCCATCATATCTTTTCTTTGTGACCTCTTGATGAGACCATTTTTCATGTTGTCGGGAGAGTACATCAAGCGGTCAAGGTCATATCTTGTCTCGTCAGGTAAACCAAGCCGCATATTCGGCGACAATTCATCTGGATCAACCTGTCATTTTATATGAAAATATGTAAATTTGCAGTATTCTTGTTGACTTTATAATATTAAATCACAGCTCTCCTATAAACATTTACTATCCTGAAAGTAGGCACCGGTCATACTTTTAAATACGCCTCATGTGTGAATATTAGTAATACTGTAGAACAGTAATGAAATGGAAGAACAGTGAAGAAAATTCAACCAGTAGCAAGACTAAATTGAAAATCCTTTTTATTAGCTATTGTGATATGTCTGCGCTCGGCATTATAAGGAACTGAAAAATTTGACTGTATACCATAAAAGACAGCTATATACAAAATTAAAAAAATATAACTTATGGACATATTTCTGAACTAAAGCTGGGACATATAGAGTTGACCCTAATGGGATCTGAATCTACGACCCTCAGTTTCAATGTACTTTTGAGTATTTGTAGCCTATTTGAAAATTTGTCAAGTCAAGGTAATGTATTAGGATGATTCTACAATAAAAACCCAGGTACCTTTCTATTTGCAGCTTCCCATTCAGCTTGTTTTTTCTTCTTCCTCTTCTGATACAGATAGTAGATGATTCCGGCAGCTATCAGCGCCAATATTAGCACAACAATAATAACAATAGCTGCTATTACACCAGCTGACAACGCCGAAGAACTTGATTCATCATAAGCTAATATATAAAGTAAACGTAATAAAAGTTATAAGAGCACATAAAATAAATCATTTGGATCAATTACACATCATTACAAAATTGATAGGGGATATGAAATACTACGACTTTTCCCGCAGACTTGTTTTCCCTGTACCAGGAAAGTAAATACCATGGAGAAAGACATCTCTTCTGTAAAATCTTAAAGGCAATTTAACAACTTATTATAAACAAGATGGCCAAGATGGCTCTAAATCGCTCACTTGACCAATTGAACTCATTGTTTAAAGGAGTTGATATACTTACCGCAAAGAACTGAAAAAGAAAATATAAAAAATGAAATGTTTATCATTCTGATTTAATCGAAATACGAGAATATACATGTAAGTTATACATCATTAACGTCTTAACACTTTAGATAAGAAACCAATTATATTTTACATACTCGAATTTTATTTTTTAACTGAAACTTAAATATTTTATTATGAATCTTTGTCCGAGATATATATGTATACTCTTTGAATCAGACAAAAAATATTATGACTGGCTGTAGTAATATATGTCTTTTATATAGTATCTGGAATATATAAGTAATTTTAAATGTAAACATACGACTAGAGGTCATAACCAGGGTAGCCCCAGGAGATGCGACATTAGTTTCATTCATAGTGGATGGACAGTCACCTGGATACTGGGTAGCATAAACTGTACCATAACCCCTTGCCCTCTGTATAACAACGAAAAATGAAATTTATCATTGATATTTTATAAATTGAATCAGTTTAATGTTATTACCATTTGGCAATGCTCACACAATGATATATAAACACATAAAATATAATAATAATTCAACTTTAAATACAAATTAACAAAAAAAAATTAAAGTAGAAGACTTTACAAAATCAGATTTTCAAACTTAATATAGAGAATTTTTCATTTGAACGACCCTTCATTTGTTTTTTTAAAAAAAAATAGTTTATATGTAAACGTTTAGATATATTATTTAACTACTTACATAGCATGTAAATCTGTACGTAGTACTTTGATCAGTTGTCGTATCTTGGTTATATACATGTATAGTATAAACACTGTTAACCTCCGTTGAGTATATGCAGTTTGTTACGCCACCAGCTAGAATAAATTTAAAATTTCATTGACAATATTTTTTTTAAAGTTAGGTTATTTGAAACAATTCTGTTTATTCTGATATGATATTCTCGTTTTTGATATCTCTCTTTCTGTATATATCTAACAATTTTATACATTTGGCATACACTAATATAAGTAAGTAAGTAAGTAAGTAAATATTTTATTATAGTGACATGTGTATGACAGTTTACAAATAACGAAATTAAATAATTTAACATAACACCCGGCCCAATGGACCAATAAGTCACCTGAAACATATATACATTATAAATAGTTCACATGAAATTATTATACTGTACACATCATAATTATTACAGGATAAATATTTCAACGATTAAACAAGGATTTCTTTCTTTTAAGATAAGCATTAACAAGGTATTTAGCTACTTTTCGTGGAAAACTTACAACAAGATATTTCATTTTCATATCATCGTTCATGTTCATAAAATCTTCATTCATAAATTGTTCACTAAAAATGTCTACTCTGATGTTGTTGTAAAAGGGACATTGGACTAAAAAGTGTTTTTCATCTTCTATTTTATTATCTTTTTTAATATATTTTAGTTAAACGCCTTAACTGCGAAAAGATAAAATAACTATTAGTTATTCAACGAAAATTATACTCATTCTAATAATTTACATCTTTGATAAAATTTCTCAATATAATTATGACGAAAAGGGCAGCAACGTTCATGGTCGGTAAAGGTAAACAACAAATCAAATATTTTGATTTTTTCCCTTCTGTCAGATTTATGAACAGCGTTCACCTAACTGCCAAAATTATTTTATTCATGAACTAAAAACCGAACCTGAGTAAGCTTGAATTTGTGAACATTGTGTGTAGTCCCAGGTCATCGTGGTTTTATCCGTGCAAACTGTCACTGCGGAGTTATTGCACAAGTTACCGGAGCCGGTATCGTAAGTGTACGCAAAGTTTCCCAGAAATGGGATTCCGCAATTACTCTTCACATTTTCTATCGTACCTGAAACATGTTAGTCGAAATAACTTTATTACTTTCTTTCTGGAGGACAAAACAAGCTGTAATTCAAAAAGTATTGACATGAAAACATTTCGATATCTCTGACTTGTTACCGCCATTTTTAGTTTTGTGCGTGTTTATTTTTTTCATTACTATTGAAGCTAATTAAAGGGGAAAATGTGTTGACAATTTGTATTGGATAACGAATCTTTTCATTATATCCATTAAATTACGAAATATGTGCGTTGAGGTACTATGCATATGTTGTTACTTGTTATTTTATACGATACTTATTCTGGGTTTTCTGTAACTGTCTATTGAAAACATAAATATAACACAAAACACTTCTGCTTAGAAGTTTAAACACTGAGTTAACCATTTTTCATCAAGACACTGTATGGTACGTCGGTGTAGTCTGTGACTGTACACACTTCAGAGCCAGTAGCTTGAGGGAAGGAAGCCAATTTAAACAAAACCCGCTCATTATTTGCATCTGACTGTTGAGCTGTAATAAGTATATAAACAGATGAAACAACGCGCTCATACAATATTAATCGTGCATTCTACGAGTTATGATCCGTCCACTACCGATCACATGCATTATTAGATAGATATGTACAAAATTTGATTTTTACCGATATCATTATCATTAGGTTAAATCATTTAATTAAAAGCTCTTTGTCTAATGAACTTAATATTTATCTTATAGAATGTTTTTTTATAGTGAATTACAGAAGCGTTAGGAAACTTGAAATGACAGCCTAGAACAGGAAGATACCCGGTGTCTTTTGCTTTGTGTTGTTATTGTCATTTGATTATTATTGTCAACGTTTTAGAAATTTAACTTACGTGTAGCTCTATAATATTTATACAGATCGCCTGTGGTGATGTCAGTAACTTGCTGAAGGTCAATGCAAAGGTAGGCATAGAATGATAAACCAAAACGCTTAAATGATTCAGATCTGGAAAAACATATGAAAATTACTATAATTAATATACCTTGGTTTCATAAAAAGACAAAACAAATAAAATACTTTCAGAACGTGTTAGAGAGACATATAATAAAATAATATAAAGATATTTTAAAGTTTCCGTGATAACTTGTCATCAAAACATGAAAACAAAACAAAAACATCAATCAAACGGATTCGAGAGAGTTTCAATAAGTGTGTAGCTTCCAGCACAATCGAGATCAAATAAATTCGTATAAACTAAATAAAAGCCTTTCTTACAATACATAAAAGTACTAAAACGAAATAATATACACACTTCAATACATATTTGCCAGAGTATTCCTCAATGCACGTAAAACTGTCAGTGGAAAATGTTGCCACCTTGAAACCCGATAGGGATGAATCAGCAAACACGAGGGCATCTTTTTCACTGCTAAGCCACGACCCACGCAAGTATGTAGGAAACGTACAGCCTATATAAGGCAAATAGCTAAATGTTTTAACGTAAAAGTCGAGTACGATGAAATGAAGACTAACATAGACAATAATTTTAACACTACTGTGAACTTTACTAACTTTAAGTATGATACTTACAAGCAGTAATGTTCAATGTGCTCGGTTATAAGTTGAAGAAAGGCAAACTATCAATCATCTTACGACAATTTAAATTTTTAAAAGTAAAATCTCACTGACTATATTTAAATGTTGAAAACCTGCCTATATTTAAGATAGACAATGCCTTGAAAAGTTTATCAAATATGAAAGAACATAAATAAAAGTAACTGTTTACCTGAACAAAAAGCAATAATGCAGCAGAAAAAAACACTCCTAGTGATAAAAAAGCTTGCCATCTTCAGCCAAGACGACACTAGAAGCCATTTCTTATTGAACCAAATGTAGATCCGCCATTTTCGGTTTAATGTAACTATGGATACATCAATCGCCGGAAGTAGGTTTTAAATATATACCGATTGCTGCAAGAAAAATTCAAATCAAAATTCCTAATTTTCATTAACATTTAGATACCATTTTCTCTTTTTTTATTATTTAAAGTGATATTTAAAATATTGTTGTTAAGAAATAAATTTAATTTTCGAACGCGTTTACTATATTGAAAATAAATTGCAGTAACTTAGCGATTAAAAATTGACATTCGCTAATCCGAGTTCAAATATATAAAACTTATAGGATTAGCGGCATATTAATCACTGTTAAAGTTTTGTTTAGCTGCAACAGCCGACATTGTTATGAATTTGATCCCCGTTACGTAGGGTCATTTAAATCTATACATGTCTGTATGTTGAATAATTTTGAATATGTAAAGTTACCAATAAATTAGGAAGTCGTGATAGATCAAAGGATTAGTTTGAGAGGAACGCATTTAGTTTTTAAGAAATGTCGTACTTGCACAACTGATAATCATGAAATACTAGTACTTTTGAATATTATAAGGGTTGTTTAGACTGATTAATTTACATTTCACTGATACATTAAGCACCAAAAACAAGTCATTAATTAGCGACGTTACTGAAGAATATTGTTTTTTATACGATAACATGACTTATACACAAATGAAAATAAAACACTATGATACCCCGAACAAAAACACAGGACAAAAGTTCAAATACTGATGCAAAGATTAAAATGTCGCACGATACACGAACGTCAGGAAAACTTAAACCGTTCCTAGCCCTTCTCATTATCTTTTTAGACAGAAAATTTTTCTAAGTAAATGAATGACAAAAACATGGAGTTCTCAATTGATCCTACCATGTTTTATTTATTTAATAAAAATTCTTAACATTTGCATTTTAGTTGGCTTATTCATGAATTACGAATTCCAATCAAATAGGTATAGCACTTTATTTCTATAATTACAATTTCCAATAAGGGCATTAATTTTGATTAATATCCTGGGCCGTACTTGCAGGAACACATTTTTGTCCTTACGAGTTGAAAGGACCTAATTAAACATATGTAATTACAAGTGGTATAACACACAGTAACAATATCAATCACTAAACATACAGGATCTTTAAGAAATTAGCATTAAATGTGAGATACTTTGTTAGAGAGGTAGCAATATGTAAACAACTTGGTATTTTGGCTTCCACACAAAATAATAAATCACTATAACTATACTAAATGTCAAACGCAAAAAAGCAAAATATAATTAAGCTATATGGCAAATGAGTTACAGGAAACTGTCACAGGACACACAAAATAAATAAAAGTAGTAGTTTGAGGCTTAATGAATCATTACAATTCTGTTTCTGTTTCCTTTTATATTTCTCGAAAAAACTCCCCATTCAAGAATATTTCAATAAACTAACAATGACCCGTGTGTTTGCATGCTGCTAAAGATTATACTAAAAAGAGATATTAACATATGTCTAAAACAAGTGAACGTATTCAGAGTTCAGAATGTTATTGTACTTTCCGTCATGTTATAACTGTATACCATTAGTACGTAAATCTAGCAAATCTGGTTAAAGGGTTATAACCTGTAATATTAAGGATTAAATTAATACATGTACTTCTTAAAAGTTTGAAATCTAAGTTATAAATTAAATTTATACAGTTAAAAACTTTAATTGAAAAATGCATCTATAAAACAATTTTACGAACACTGCAATATTTCTTCTACAAATTCTATTTTGTTACTATCATATCTATAAAAAAAACTTTGTAAAAAAATAAAAGATCAAAGCGGCACTTCCGGTCAAGGATTAATCTCCATAGCGTCTGTGAATGGAACAAAAGAAAATGGAGGAACGCTTAAATTAGCACATAAGGATGGTTTAAGCAAAAAGATGCAGCTATTACATAAAAGAAACTAGCGAGCAAGAATACGCTTTGAAGATGAAAACATCGGCTAAACATGTCTTAAATCTTTTGATTTTGGCTTATTTTGGATTTCATTTATCAGGTATGTAAATCCTTTTTTAATTCTCTTTAATATGATTTACGAATAATAGATTTCAATCATATTATTTTTTTTCGTGATGGAGTTTTAAAAAGATGGAACAAATCGTCCATAGTGGCGACTTCTAGTGAAACAATTTGGAGATCTTGAAATAAGGACAGACTCTGTAAACAAATGAAACAAATATTATCTCTTGCCTTCATGTCCACGTTTTTTGTTGTTCCGTTTTTTATATACTGTAGTAAATGTGGTGCTTTATACTGGCGAAACTAAAATAGGATCTTTTTAAAAATGAAGGACTCACTTTGCCAATGGATGAATGATAAAGAAGGAAGAAATAAATCTTAGAATATAGAAGTACATCTATTCAACCTATGTGTTTTTATTCAACACAAAATCAGTAATAACTGCTTCAAAGAAATTCCTGTCTCCTTCAATTTCAATAGGAAGTTCCTGCACATACCCATCTGAACTCCAAGATGGCACGTGGCACTCTAGTGATATGGGAACTGTTACATTCAACTCGACCCACTTCACAGTTTCAGGGATTGTTGATTTTGGGTCTCTAACTTTCGAATGTGTTTCACTGGGCAGTGGGAGGTACTACAGCTTGTAAGTACTATATCATATACACTTCATATTTAAATAACACTTTATAAATTGCCCCCAAAAAAGTCTTTCATAATGCGGGCATATGACAGGCAACTAAATACATTTTTACAGTAAGTAAATCTTTGCTTTATCCTTCTTGTAGTACTGTTTGATACTTGTTGCAACTGATTTATGCTTATATGCCATTTATAGGTAATAGTCACATTAATCTAGACATATATTACAGAACTGCGCAACAGAACGCTCAATTTTTTTAATATTAAGCATAATTATTTCATAATATCCATATAAAAGCAATTTCGGTTTCTATTTTTTACAGATCGAATTCCTTCCAATATCTGGGAATAACAGATCCATTTAAAGTTGCATTATGTTTCGAGCTTAGCAGACAGTCGTCTACGAAATATATATATTATCCTCAAACTAGTACGTTACATTTATCTTAGTAATATATCTATTAGATTTAGAGACATACTAGAAATTAAAAAAATATACATCTACATAATTTATGCTTATATATCTTACTATTTTAAAATAGCTTTAGTTTTTACACGATTAGGCAATAACAAGAACTTTTGATATATATTTATATGCCCCATTTACCACATTGTTAATAAACAAAGCATTGAAAGTACCGACAACTAGCAAGGATTACATAACGACATCTTTGAGTGTTCATACGCAAGTATATACCGCAATGTAAGTGTTTCTAAAGTGTTGGTGGCTTCAATCAAAAATGAACATGCTTATATTCTTTTAAAACATTTCAGCTATTTTAGCAAATACAAACATAAACAGAGTAACATTCAATCAAGCTACTCATTCCTTCAGTCGGACAGAAACCTGTAACGATGTGTCCTTTGATGTGGACCAAATCAGACTTCTTGTTAAATCAGGTATCTTTACACACACGTATAGTTTTTATTCCGACACCATTATAACATGTTTTTAATAATTTCCCCCTACTATGCAATGTCACCTTAAACCTGCTCTCTCTCTTCCACTCGGTACGTGTACGTCATTGAGAGGCCAGTGACATCGGTGGAAGATTTGAAGAGCTTGGGACATTTAACTTATATCATGAGGGCTAGCTGTCGATTTCAATAAAGGGCTTCCTCATCTTATCGTCGTTATACGTTTAGGTGTTTATAAACCTCTAAATAGTCACCTACTTTCTGCTCCAAATTAGTAATAGTTTAAATGTGATGAGGGGATGTGGAGTAAGTTCTGTTAAACCATGTTTCCTCTTACAAATTATTTTACATCATTATTGAGTTATAATTTTTGACCACCAATAACGTTGACGATCATGCATGAAAACATCGAAAAACACACAACACACGAATTTATTCGAAACTCTCAGTTATTTATGTCCAATAAGTGATTGATGTGTTCAATTGATATATACATGTAGTTTATTTTGTTTGCATAATTCTAAAATATTTATATAACCGCCACCGATGATTTGTCATTGTAAAAGGTTTCCAAAAGTTTTTTTAGATGACACAGATTACTTAGAATGTTTATATTCCTCCGGATTTTAAATGTCTTTCGGTATTTTTGTCGGGAATACACTTGATATTAAAGTTTGAATTGATTAAAATTTAATTGCTTAATTGATTCTCTTTAAATTTGAAATTCAGAAGCATACATATTGCTAAATAATTTCTGTTCCAATCTAAACCGACATACACGAGGGTAAAAAACGAATTGAAACGAAAAAACTTATTAGAATCAGTGTAAGTTTTATACGTGGTTGCATCTTTGGTATAATAGTGGAATTGTGTGCGATTATTCGTATCCTTATTTTTGATACGTTAATATGGTTTCAAAATACAAATAATAGTTTTATAATTATCATTCTATTACTTTCAAAAGTAAAGCATTACGGTATATCAAAATATACATGTATAACAAAAACCGATGACTGCTGAGATCCATGTATCTATGAAAAAAACAAAACTGATTTACCTCATGAAAACTTTGGTCAAAGAGTAATTACTCGTGTGATTCAGAACCTTCTTTTCGTACATGTAGTTAAAATATTTCAACATTCTAGGTCAATGTTGTCCATACATAAAATAACACATCAGCTCGTAGTACAGTTTATTGGACTACCGAACTAACCTTAATGAAGTCCTGAATTACACAAGAAATACCTTTACTTTTTACATTATCAAACAGGCACTGCTAACATAATCTATGAATACAAAATTCCCTAATAACATTTTAAAGAAAAGGCAGATTTACCTCGGCCGAGTATCTTTTTAAAAAAATACTTCTTGTTTTGTGTTTTTCGATATTTTCATATGCATGAGTAAACTTACAGGATTGTGAACAACATTATTGGTGGTCAAAATTTATAACCCAATAAGTTTTTGTAAGAAATAAACTCACTAAGTTTTTAAGTACTAGAAAATGTAATGAGATCTAAACACAGTGTAAAATGTTTTGTTGTAAGACTAAAGTTAAACAGAACTTAAATATCTTAGCAAATTAACTAGAGATTTAAAGAAGTAGCCCGTACATTTATTTTAGTACTGTCCTTAACATTTTATTTATAATTGAAAGAACTATCCTTAAAACATTA